CACCAATTATTATATAAAAAGGAAACTGAAGTAAATAAGCCGATTTTAAAATATTGTTTTTCCAGTTCCTTTTTTTTAATTCATTGAAAACAATTTTGATGCATGTAAAGAAATCCAACTCTTAGATGAATACTTCGTGATAAGCTGTCGACAGTTAAATTTCTTTAAAAATGATGAGATAGTGTAAGTAGCTTTTAGGTAAGCTTTAGCAGAGATACCAACTTGCTCTGGGCACGAGTAAATATTTTCGAGTGGTAGTCTTTTAATGTATGATTCTTGTTTTAATAAATTCTATATAAAAGGCTTTTGCTCACCATCACTTATACACCATTTTATAGCAGAATAAATCCTCTGCGAGGTTAATTGCACACATCTTTACAAGTGATGCAACATGGACCATTTTAACTCAATGGTGCGTGCATAGTGATATATTATATGGCAATATATATGACGATAATCGGTATTAATGTACAATAAGATAACATAAATATACTTACAGCGTTGACACAAATCAACTTGATCTGGAATGGCACTATTATCTATACTAAGTTCAGGACTGATGAATAAGCGTTAGGTGATGTACAGTTCACACGCTGAGTGCCACGCTAATTTTACATGTCCTGTCCGTCAGGCCGGCCACAACGGTAAATAACTACAAGCTAAATTTGCAAATTTTAGACAGATTTTGCTAGTTTTTAAAAGGTTTAGCATGATATATCTGAATTAAAGTGGTGAATTATATAAGCCTACGAATTGCTTAGAAATAATGGTGGATAAAATCCTAGTGAATTGAATTTATTAAACCAAGAATCACAATAATTAAGTAAATTTTGAATAAATTTTCTGCAATTCCATAAAAGAGTGTAAATTTTATAGTTCTATATCATGTTATACGCTGTCAACCAGCTGTCTTTCACGGCCTATGTGAAAGGTTAGTGTCAGCCACCGGCGGTTGACGCGGCCTAAATGTAATTTCAGTCTTTTATTTCTAGGCTACAAGGACCAGAAAGCTTATCACCTCTATGATCCTGACCTAATGATGAAAGGGTAAAGGATCACTTCGTTCTCAGGCACCCTGGCCAACTGACAGGACTGCGACTGCAGATTAAGTCGTGTCGAGTCTTTTAAAAAGTTTGAGTTTGCAGTTCCTTACCGTTTCTAAAAATATTTTGTCGAATCCGGAGCAGCTGGCACGACAGCTCAAAATCAATGTACCTGAGGAAATAAATTTTTTCTGTTGCGTATATACAAGAACAGCTCAACGCTTAGATTTCGATACTCGCAGATATTCCCGAATTCCCATTTAAGATCTCTGATCTCACTATTATAGCCAAACAGGTAAGCCATGTTTGGCCTTTCAGAAAATTAGCAAAATGAACTAAAATCTGCAAATTTTATTTTTTGCAGTTCTCCACCGTTTTATAAAATATATTGTCGAAACCGGAGCAGTTGGTAACTCTACATAAGTTTTTTCAAGAACACTTTTAGGACAGCCGATTCATTGTTGAATCACAATATAGCTTTTTTAAATCATAACAGCAATTAAATTTTAAGCATTCTAAACAACTTGTCCATTCAATAAGGCTTTCAAATAATAATAAATGAAATTTAGTAAAAAACTTAAGAAAGTGCACGTAGTAAGGTAAAACGATTTAAATTGTCACCACATTGCTACTAATTGAAAGGCTTTTTTAGAAGATTTTACTTTCATATTAAAGGTAAAGGTATTAAAGGTACACTGTAAAAAATAAATGATACTCAAATTTCACGAAAATTTCTTCGTTTCTGAAGAATGCCTTTTCTAGTATATGGATTCAAGCGAGCATTTCGTCAAAATGGCGAAATACCATATATATTATTTACTTCTGAGAGGAAATGAAAATCGTCAAAGGTAAAGGAATATTTTTACTTACTTACTTTATTTAACAAATTTGGGCACCTGGGCAGCGTAGAAGGCCCCTATTCCATACATCATAAAATTTACAGACAATTGTGATAAAAAAACGTTTTTAGTTCAGCAGTCTGAGGGGAGGATGATATTGGAAATCAAGCACCTTGCTTGAATAACTAAAACAAATGAAAATAATAAGGAACAACTTGCTCTAAACTATGTCTGGCTGTATGCAGTTTAGTGGTCAACGTGAGGAAACGCTAGGTCAGGTTTTCAGAATTGGTATTGTATTTGATGCTTTGAATGGAACTGTAAACTATTATTTATGCTGATGGTTGTGATATGGGGCGTCGGAGGTGAAATGAGCGGCTATTGGTCTTAGTTTTTCATCTTTTTTATAGTTTTCAAAGTTTAATGTTTGATTAANAAATATTAGTGGAATCCATGCCGAATCGTGTCCAAATGTTAATAAAGTGTCGTGGAGATCATATTTTGAACTAAAAATTTTTGGGTTTGTGTAAATTTAAATAAAATAGCATTTTCTCTTAGTTTTCTGAATTTATTGAGTTTGTTTCAATTAATTTGCACAAGGGTGTATAAGATCGGTCCAAGTATAAAGGAATATTCAGATATGCCAACTTGCGTTGCTTTGTAGAAATAGTTTTTCTAGTACTAGAAAAATTTATGTTCATAATTGGGTTAATAAATTTCATTAAAAAATTTTTTGCTCACCCCTGCATTTAAATAATTCAAAGATTTATATAGTAAACCATTTTGTTCAAAATTAATTAGCCCTTCCGAGTCTACATCACATCACTCCTATGTGTGTTCCCGCCATGGGATATTTAAAGATGACTGAGGGAAAAGAGCCATTTAGGCCTCAGATGCCTAGTTCTACAACAACGAACGAGAGTTAATTACCCCAGCTTAAAATAATAAAGGAAATAAAACTTCTTTTTTTACGTAATTTTTCTACCGCATAGCAATAACACGTTGAATGCCACACTAATTTTACATGGCTTGCTCGTCAGACCACACGGTAAATAACTACAAACTAAATTTGTAAATATAGACAGATTTGTTAGTTTATAAAAGGTTTAAAATGACACATCAAAAAAAGTGGTGAGTTATATATGCCTACAAATTGTTTAAAAATAGTGGTGGATAAAAACCTAGTAAATTGAATTTGTTAAACCAAGAATCACAATTAAGTAAATTTTGAATAAATTTTCTGCAATTCCATAAAAGAGTAAATTTTATTGTTCTATATCATGTTATACGCTGTCAGTCAGCTGCTTTTCGTGGCCTATGTGAAAGGTCAGTGTCAGCAAGCGTTGGCAGACGCAACATAAATGTAATTTCAGTGTCAGCCACCGGTGGTTGACGCAGCCTAAATGTAATTTTAGTGTCAGCCACCGGTGGTTGACGCGGCCTAAATGTAATTTTAGTGTCAGCCGCCGGTGGTTGACGCGGCCTAAATGTAATTTTAGTGTCAGCCACCGGTAGTTGAAGCGGCCAAAATGGAAAGTTCAGTGTCAGCCACCGATGGCTGACGCGGCGCTTAACGGGTTAATGACAAGATAAATGAGGAAGAAAGCCATGTTGGACTCAGGTGTCCAGCTCCATTTGATAACTGAAGTGAAGGAATAGTCCTGAAACTTTCGAGAGAAAATCAGGGACCGCGTTCCTTAAACCTTCCACCTTCTCTCTCTTATCATTAAATTTTAGAGGGTGTTTGAGAGAGAGTTCCGCAAGCTAGAGAATGTCAAAAACAAAATAAAAAATTTAAAAAAAAACTATCTTTAAAAATTTAAGCCATCGTTATCATTTTTCTTTACCGTTATTGTTTTTTATCGTGCATTAGTACATATTAGCTAATCTTCTAATACAAAACATATTTAAATATATTTTTGTTCCTAATTCACGAAGAAAAAAGAATCAAAACATTTAGCTAAAAAAAATTCTTACTGACTTTTTTTCTTAAATTATTTTATATCTTTACCTTTTTCACATTTGTCTCCAGAATATGGTGATTTACAACTGCACTTAAATCCAGTTGAAGCAACTTTACATGTTCCTCCATTTGCGCATGGGTTGGCCGTGCATGGATCTTTGAATAAAAATAATAATCTATAATCATGTTTTAATTTTAAAGGTAATATAATTCATATTAAAGATTAATTTTATACTGAAGATATTTGTACAGGGTAAATGGCGTATGAATGGGTCACGGATTTGGCAGAACAGTTATTGTACTTCAATTTTCAATCGTTTTTAAAGTAGTTATATTTTTCCCATAGTTGAAAGAATGCGTTGACTGATGATCTGCGTCGTTTATGGTTCTGACTTCGATTTTTAATTTTAGAATTTACAAAGTATTTCGATTTCGATTTTCTATTTAAAATCTGACGTTTAATCAGATTTATATTTAGAATTTACTATGTATTTCGCTGTCACCGTTTTTATTATATATTTTTCTGGTTTCTTATTAAAAATGGAGAATTAATTATAGTTGGGAATTATAAAATTATTAAGCAAAATGAAAATAAACAAACATATAATCAAAATTCCACGATATATTAACAAANTACGTCAGCACTGTGGTCAGTGCAAACTTTCTATTCAAAATTATTAAGCAAAATGAAAATAAACAAACATATAATCAAAATTCCACGATATATTAACAAAATAGGGGAGATAATTTGAAATTCGTGATAGTTTGAAGATCTGATTAAAAAGACGTTTTAACTTCGATTGAAATGAGAGACATTTTTGATAATTCAAGGAACTTCTTTCTACAAAAATAATACGCAGTAAATGTCAAAAACCACAAAAAATCCCTTATATCGAACAAAAGTCTTGCTTCCATTGTCTTTCTTTTAAGTCTTTATTTCTATTTCCCCAACAATTTTCTACTATTTTGATCAATAAAAAA